CCGTGTGCAAGCGGCTTCCCAACGTTTGTTGCAGCTCCTGGCTGGGTGTGCAGGTCAGGGAAGTTGAAGGCGTTTTCCAGGCGGGCTGAGGACGGGTGGGAGTTAGCTGTGAGACTGCTCCCGCCTCCGGCAGGGCTGAAACCTCCTCGGTATAGAGGAGGAAGGGTTTGTTTATTTTTTTTTTAAATGCTTTCCAGTCCCTCAGAAATATTTTTGAGTATTCATGGCGGGTCAGGGCTCACAGAAGGACCCAATCAACCTCCTGCTTAAAACAGCCTGAGTTGGCAAGCTTTGTTTGGGGTTCAGGCGGCTGTTTACAAATACACCTGCCTCCAGCCTTCTTGTTTGTGTGTGTTTGGCTGGGTGAAATAACTTTCTCCTCAGAAAACTGACAGGAATTACTCAGGGCTATGTTAAGGTGAAGGCGTTGCTGGTGAAAGTTAATTCTAGTTTGTTGTAGGTATCAGGCTGTCTATAAACTTTCTGGTTTTGTTTAAGTGTTACAACATCTGGACATAGTGCAATATTGTTGAAAAACACTTAATACAGCATTTAAAACTATGCAAGTAGCAGAAAATACTCCACTTTTGAACTGACTTTAGGCAAATAAAGGGAGTTGCTTACTATAGAGAGCTTATGTTTAGGGCATGCTCGAGGGCCAAGGCTCTTTTATTTATTTATTTATTTAATAAATGTTCCATTATTTGTTATTTTACTAGGAGTGAGCACGGGTTTCTTGCAAAGGCTGAGACATGGCTGAAGGGGGTGTTTTGTAGACCTATAATGGGTACTATGTCTTTCAAATGGGTATAAGGTGCTTAAGCACTTGCTTTCCTAGTGCATTGGTGTGTTATTTCTACTTCAGTTTAAAACCTTCCAGCTATTTTGTGGTGATTACTGTGAATTGGTCGAAAGGCTTAAGTTTCTTTTAAGGAGTGAACTGACATTTTCTCTAATGCAAGATTTTTAGGAAGGTAAACCTCTTAGATATATTTCATTTTCTGACTCCTCGAAGAAAATATATGTTGATATGTGAGTCATAAATGAGGTGATATGCATCCCTAAACTTTTTTTTACCGTTAAATACACATATATTGAAGATACATGCATCTTGCAAATGGGAGGAAGTTCTCTGAATCTCAAAAGGGTGTGAGAGAGTTCAAATCCAGGAGGGTTTTGGAAATTCTCTCAGGAAGCCCAAGATTTCAGTACAGCCCAGGTGATAACTATCCTGAGAAACATGCTTTTTTTTTTTTTTTTTTTTTTTTTTTTTTTTTTTTTTTTTTTTTTTTTTTTTTAGTTAAGTCTATCAGCTTGTCTGTTGTTCAAAAATCTTCCTGAACAGAAAGCTGACTGATTCCTGGCAGCACTTTCAGCTAGCTCTACTGATAGTCTACAACCGAACGCACAAGTCAAGGAAGTCATCCTCTGTCTTCTGAGACAGAGTGTTTTTCTGTCTCTATGTTTTCTGCTTATGAACATGTTTGTTTTGCATTTGCTGTAAGAGTTATTTCTAAAGTGCTTTATGCCTTTCTTTAAAAATGGAGTTGCACTTAAAGCACAAGCAATTTGCAAACAGCCAACACCTGTTCCAGGCAGTGTTTTACCCTCCCCTATAGCACAGCTTTTCTATATAATACTCATAATATTAGAAGTTGTCACATCTGCCAGGAGCAGAGGACAAGTCAAGTTTAAAGCCCTTTGGGGTAAAATTAGCATAATATTTGAGACAAAAAAAAGGGCACGTATCTATTCACGTGAGACAGTTTAGCTGACGGATGTGATAAATACTACTGCAATAGTTCAGAACTGGGTACTCTTGTCAGGCGGGGCTATGTCTAACAGAGTTGCACCCAACAATGAGATATGATCTGGTGTGCATAAATTCTGGTCCCTTCTACCTGAAATGAACAGCACCATGGAATTGGGCTCAGAAATAGGTCTTTGCATTACAACTATGAGAAACTGCAGTTGCTTTCATTGTCTTTACATGTGTTGGAGTAACGCTGTGGAATTACTTTCACCTTAAAGCAGACGGCATGGAAAATAAGGAATAGCTATAAGAGGTTTTTGTTCAGCAAAAATTGTTCATATGTGTAATTTTTTTACTGTTTCAAAACATTGGCTAAATACTGGCAAGAGCATTGTGTTTTCACCAAAAGTGACACTCACCAAAGTAACAGCCTGAGTTGCTCTGAAGAAGGTGATCCAAACGTTATTTTAAGTGCACTTTGCACATCCTCCCCTTTTCTGGGTTAATGGCTGTCATTGCCAGTATTCATTGGACTGTTGTCACACAAGGAGAGGAAGGTGAGGGAGGCTGGGAAGGCTCTGCAGTTGCATTTGAAGGAGCGTGAGTGTAAAACAGGAACTGTTTCATGCACCAATGAGCTTTATCATCTTATTTATTTCGTATGTGCATCAAAAGCTGTATTCCATCTTACTTTCTCCCATTGTACTTCTCACTGATTTAATATGGGTTTGTTTCATTTTTCCTATGATTTACTTTTGGAAATTTAATTAAAGTTGGGGTTATAAGAAGTATCTTTGTACTTCAGAAGGCTGGAATGAATGATGAGAAAGGCAGGACCAGAAAGAAACATTGTTAGAGATACAGAGAATTTTAAGAAAAATGTGTCTTGCATAGAAAGGTCTTGGATTTCTAAAAGGCTCAGTGGAAGTCAGCGTAAGGGAACTTGAGGGAGTCCATGGGTGTGAAGGTGGAGTGACCAAATAGTGTGTCTATCTTTCCCCTTGAAAGCGCTGTTCACTTGCACAGAATCTAACTTTTAGGTTTCCATGTGCTGTCTATTTAACTTTCTTCCTCAGACCTTTGCTAACTATTGGTAGAGTGAATGTATCTTAAAATCACTGGTTTGACCCTCATCATAATGACCTTGATTTGTATGTCTATTAAAAAAGGAAAAAGTAATTTGTTAAAAAATGAGGGTGGGAGCATCAATCCCAGATCTCATGCCACAGCCCTTCTGCAAGAAAACGAATTGGCTTTCTGTGCTACAAACTCTTAACTATAAATCAATCTGTTGCTACTCTGTGAGATTCCTGTATAATTGCCCATGAATGCAAACTCAAGTACTTCAAGTATTCACAGATGCAGAACATCAGAAATAAAGATTATAGTAAATCAGATCTCATGAATATGCATATTTTTGTTGCCAGTAAATAATCTGAGTTATCTAAATTAAAATTCAAAATTATATATTGCAAAGGAAGCGTTCTTCTCTTTTTTTTTTTTTTTAAGAGTTGGGAAACATTTGCAGTAGTCTTCCTGTCATTACTATGCACATGATAATCATGTGAAGAAAATGATACTTTTTTTTTTTATGCTGCTTGTTTTAGATAGGTTTTATTTCTTAAATTGCTGTTAAAAATAGACTGAGAACTCTAAAAAGCAGTGGGCCATGGAGCTGGTTGGAAGCCGCTGACAGGAGCCAAAGCCACTGGCCTATTTTGTGTTCTTGCAATAAGGGTTCTGGACTGAAGTGATACCAAGGAAAAAGAAATCATGTCAATTAAATGTAATGTACAGGTTTTGATTTAAAAACATTCCTAAGGCTTAGATGCTTAGCAAGTGGAAGCCTAGCACACCTTCATCAGTGTATGTTGTTAAGATCCCTGGTGCAGAGTCTAGGCTGCTGTTAGCCAGTTGGGCCGCAGCTGTGAGAAGTCGCTTGCTCTAGGGTGCCAGACTTTGTGCTGAAGTGGC